TAGGAGATAGAAATAGCTATCATACTTTAAAATAACACAAAGCCCCACTTCCTTAGCTAAATAAAACTGTAAGTAATTCCTTTCACAATTTTTCCGACGCTTTTCACTCGTATTATTATTAAAGAAAACCCTATTTTATCTCAGCTTAAAGCTGACAGCCCGAGAGCTTCCGTTTAAAAGTTTTCAGGCTCCTTTTAAAATTTCCTTTTCAATATTAAGTAGGTCCCTATTCAGTTTGATGCAAGCCTTGAATGCATTTCTTGTGTATCTAATATAATATCAGTTTTTTTAGTTTAAATTACATGCTTTGGTGTATTGGAAAAATCAGAATTACTTACATATTTTGGTGTATTGGAACAGAATATCTACAGATAGGTATGTCATATCACAGAATAACGCTTATCGATTAGTCATTTACCCCACAACTTATATAATGGACTCCCCCTGAAATACAAAATATGTATGCAGCTATCTGCATAGGGGGATCCTTTTCTCTGCAGCTGACCGTACATTAAATGAATCTTAATCTGCATTATACTTATAAAAGTTTGTTAAGTTTTGATTGCTTTTTCTGTGTATATGAATACACATTTGTCCTAATATTTTTATACAAAATAAACATTTCAACTTTTGTAATTTACTTAACTAGAGCGTGACCTCATTTCGATGGTATGGATTGATAAAGTACCATTATCGTTAGGTAACAATACGTAACATTATGTTTATATTTTCCTTAATGGGGATATGAATATAAAAAAATCATTAACGGGCATGAAACAAAACTTGTGTAGTGTTTTGTTGTTGATTCAAGTTACCGGAGACGCAATTGTTTATCTTTCTCGCATTCCATAAACAACCCCAAAAAGGCTGGCAAAGCTCGATTCGATGTTGATGTTGCTTACGGTCAGATAATCCGCCTGGAAGTTTGCTGACCTATATCTATACTAATATTATAAAGAGGTAAAATTTGTAAGTTTGTATGTATTGGTATTGCCGCTGATCGGATTGCCAAAATTCTTTCACTGATAGATAGCTACAATGTTCCTGAGTGCTATAAAACATCATGCTAGGATTAAAAGGCGCCGCGAGCAGCGGGTGAAACCGCGCGAGGGTAGCTAGTAGTACCCTATATATTAGCTACTTATCCGCATAATCGGTGCCCCAATAATTTGATGACGACCGTTTTCTGCGCAACGGGTTTCATGTTGTTGTTCCGACTCTAAGTGTTGGTTATTTTTTATGTGATGGAAAGCAATCAGCGCCGTCCTTGGACACCGCAACATCAGAGGAAGTTGTCGGTTTTAGAAGGATAAGGGTTTCGGAGATTTCGGGGTTGGGAGGGATGGGAGGCGGGGATCGAATGGTAATATATACTCCTACTTAATTATTTTATATTCAAAACCGCACTTACAAATTAGGTCGAAATCCTTGTGTGGATGATAAGGACGTTTCACTGTTCACTAGTAGAGAATGCTTTTCGGCATTAGGTAAGTCCGCCTTTATATGTACCTAATACAGAAAATTTTAAATCACTTCATAGTATACAACAAAGTCGCTTTCTCTGTCCCTTGATCCCTACACCGCATATGCTTAAATCTTTAAAACTACGCAAAATCTTTAAATTGAAGAGGAAGGTTAAATATTATAATTATATCAAACAGTGGAGAAAAGTACTAGCATTGCACCCGTCCGAAGCCGGGGCTGGTGGCTTGTAAACAAATCAATATTACTAACCATAATGAACATAATGAAACTAATTGCGCAAGCAAGATTTTTATTAGGAAACATTATCATAATATGTTTTCACGTATCTAGGAGAGCCATACTTCGGCACAAATGGGCCGACTCTAACCGAGAGCCGAGTTATGCTACGGCTCTTTGAAACAACTTTACTACCTACTTCCGTAAAATAATAAGGAATTGACAGGCCGCCAAACCAAAGGTTTCAAAATTTAAAGAAATCTATATAATAAAATACACTATGCAATATAGAAAAGAAAAGTCATAGGTACATAACCGAAGAGAACTTTATATCACTCATCCATCCAAAAAGCCAGCAATCGTGACATTTATAATATACTTATAATGGGTTACATCATCATAACAAGGCAAAAGATAGCGATTTTTTATCGATTCGCTTAATTTTGGTTTATTTGTATATACGACGATATAGTATTGTGATAACGTTGATGAAAGACATTATTATATCTCGCATTACAAAAACCTTTATGAAACAAGCTTACTGGAATATGGATTTCTCTACATGCATGTCTCTAACTAGTCGCTTCTATTAGGTGTATGTTCTTTAGGGAAAAATAAAAATATCTTATTAATGTCTAAAAGGACTTGTAGCCCAACATCACAAAAAAAGTAGCAACTAGTAGTGACGTGCAACAATCTACAAGAGTATGACCAACTACTCGGTTGTAAAATAATTATTTCTATAATATCGATTCTAAATATTGGGTAAAATAATGGAATTATACTATAACTACGATTCTGAATAAATACGTGTAATAGAATATACTAATTTAGATTTATTACGGTCTGTGTATAGTCTGATATAATAAATATCGTAATTTTGATAAGACCGCTTAATTTAGCGTTATTTAATAATGAACCCGTAATTAATATTTTAAAGTTCAAGATTATTTGATTTTAAATTAATTCGATAGCAACACTAGATTTAAGCCTGACACAGAAAAAAAATGTGATTGCGGTGAATGTCAATTTTGTGCTATTTTTGTATTTATAATTCCATTTTGTGCTGTCGCAAAACAATTTATCACAGCCGATAAGCGACAACAACTTGATTATCATTCATAGTTTCCTCGTAACGTAGAACGCGTAAGTCGACCTTGTATTTTAAACCTTCTTGCTTGCTGTTTGTCACTTGAAAAATCAGTCATGAAGAATATTATTGGAAAAAGTTGGCGTGACTCTGCTTCGTTAATAGTGCTCACAAAGCGGAATAGCGAGGTGTTATCGCGCGCTGAAGATCGTGGCAATGTTAATTACGACATATTGTTACAGACTCGAACGAGTAAGGGTACGTTTGCCAACAGCGTGGTGTTTCCCGGCGGAGTCACCGAGTCCGCGGACGGAAGCAACCGCTGGTGGGATCTGTTCAGGTCCTTTGGCTTTTCGAAACAAGACTTCGAAGTATTTCACCACCCCAACACCATAACCTCGGAGATCTTCGAAAATAATCCTATACAAAGGTAAAATTTGTGGACCTTGACATCTCGGCTGACGTTTTCGTCAGTCTCGTACTAAGTGATAACGACAGTAAACATTAATGCTTGTACACTTGTATATCTTATTATATTTAATACTAAGTGAAGTGCTGCTGCAATCATTTTAATGTATGTTACCTAACTTTTATTTATATTGCATAGTGATAGCTAGGTACTGGCTTATTAGACTATCTCTAATAGAATTCATACTTTCTACCACAGTTTTTTTTTATTTTTTATATGTAATTTATTCATTTAACAGTTACTGGTTATGCAAAATGAGAACTGTGAACTTATAAAAACATTCAAATGTGAATATTTGACTAATTTGTTTACACTATTTAGATTACATATAAAGTGGTTTAAGAATTGTTGTCATTCTATAGCATCTTAGTTTTCAGATCTGATTTCTATGTATAATCTTGATGTATAGCCTTCAAATATATTTTTATGCTAGAGAAACCACAAGCAGAAGCAGAACAAACCACAATTAAATAAAGACAAGACATTTGATTCCCAATTGAGCCAACTCTCAATACACTAACATACACATGATGGATACTATATAGTATATAGTCATTTACTCATGTACTTGCTAAACATGTTGGCCTCCAATACATTTCTCATAATATTATGTCCTATTGTGACCAATTTATCATATTGACAATGTTGGTGCCATAAAAACAGTCATTGGAAGGTTAAAAATAGTTTGATGAAAATGTATAAACTATAGTAGATTTTATTGTGTGGCCAATGTTGGCCACTATGTATGTAAAACGTGGAATATTTTAATTGTTATAGACATCTACAGCTGAGAATAACAGCAATTAGAGAAACCTTTGAGGAACTGGGTCTCTTAATCTGCAGTCGGGATAGGAAGGAGTGTAGAGATAATGAAGATCTATGTGCAAATGTCATAGAAGGTGTTGATCTCAAATATTGGCAAAATCGGGTGAGAACAGTTTTTTTTTAAATATATTTATATAACATGGTTTGTGTAACTTGTAACCCATATCCTCATTTATCAAATTTAATAAATGTCCAATATTTATAGATAAGCAAAAACCCTGAAGAGTTGATTACGCTGTGTGAAGAGAACCAGTGCTACCCAGATATTTGGTCTTTGTACTATTGGAGCAATTGGCTCTCTCCCATCACACTCCCAAAGAGATTTGATACAGCATTCTTCATTGCTGCAATAGAAAATAAACCAGATTGTCTTAGAAACTCCTCCGAAGTAGTTCAAGTAGAGGTGAGTGCTAAATAATTATGTTCTTGTCTTATTTGCTTCAGTCTTCTGTTGTTATTCTGAAATGATTGTTTTACGTCAGAGTTCATCAACATTCAGTCTCTAATGTGAAATGTGTGCTAATTATGTTTTCAGTGGCTCCCACCCGAAGAAGTGTTGAATAGTGAAAGAAAATTGCAACCTCCACAGATTTATGAATTGCTCCGACTATCCCATGTGAAGGATATTGAAGAGCTAATCAAATTCGCCTGTAAGAGAAGTGGACATGGTAATTACTTATCATATCCAGTTGTTGTGAAAGCTAAGGATGGCGTATTATTTTTATTACCTGGTAAATATTTTTTTTACCATTGATTTTACTCTTTCATTAAATCCACTTGATACTTACAGTTTGTTATCTTCCACAGGTGATGACTTATACCCTTCAAGTGTAGACTACAACGACAATACAACTAAATATATAGACCAAACTATATTAGAGTTAAGAGAATCTTCTAAATCAGTTCATAGAATTGAATCTAAGAAAAACTATAGACGCTTAGTTATTCAGAATTACAAACCAGAACATCACATCACAATGGAGAACAAAACCTATGAAGGTTTTGTTACAGCTTAATATAAAACTTGTAATTCCAGTTCATGCCTTAAATTTGGCCTTATTAGCAATATAATAAGAACAGGTATTGGTTTTAGTGCTAAATCAGGTGTAGGCACATTAGACAGTAACAATGGCGGGTTCCGGGCACACGTGGCCCAACAGCCAAGACGACTACGAGCTCCTGGACGTGATCGGCGTCGGCGCCACCGCCGTAGTACACGCTGCGTACTGCCGCCCGCGCAACGAGAAGTGCGCCATCAAGCGCATCAACCTCGAGAAATGGAACACCTCCATGGACGAGCTCCTCAAAGAAATCCAAGCCATGTCCAGCTGCAACCACGAAAACGTTGTCACCTACTACACCAGCTTCGTAGTCAAAGAGGAGCTATGGCTCGTACTTCGGCTGCTTGAGGGAGGTAGCTTGCTCGATATTATCAAACACAAAATGAGGATATCTAACTGCAAACATGGAGTCTTCGATGAAGCCACCATCGCCACCGTACTCAAAGAAGTGCTGAAGGGACTAGAGTACTTCCACCAAAATGGACAGATCCATAGAGACATAAAAGCTGGTAACATTTTACTTGGTGATGACGGTATCGTCCAGATCGCAGATTTTGGTGTATCTGCGTGGCTCGCAACCGGCCGTGATCTCTCCCGACAGAAGGTTCGGCATACGTTCGTGGGGACGCCGTGCTGGATGGCGCCAGAGGTGATGGAGCAAAATCACGGTTATGATTTTAAAGCTGATATCTGGTCATTCGGAATAACAGCTATAGAAATGGCTACTGGCACTGCGCCGTATCACAAGTATCCCCCCATGAAGGTACTCATGCTCACGTTACAAAACGATCCGCCCACGCTCGACACTGGCGCCGAAGAGAAGGACCAGTATAAGGCATATGGTAAAACGTTCAGAAAAATGATATTCGAATGTTTGCAGAAAGACCCTGCAAAACGACCGACGGCTACTGAGCTATTAAAGCACTCGTTCTTCAAGAAAGCGCGTGATCGCAAGTATCTGGTATCTACTCTGGTGACAATCGGACCCAGCATGGAGACCCGTGTGCACAAGGCCAGTCGAAGGCAGCCCGGCGCCTCGGGCCGCCTGCATCGCATGGAGACCGGAGAGTGGGTGTGGGAGAGCGAAGAGGACGACGATGACGAAGACGACGCGGCGCGCGACCGACCCATGAACACGCTGGAGCGCGCCGACAGCTCCGACAGCGACGACGATCGCGCCGCGTTCACCATCGGCTCCGCCGGCGCGCCCGACACGCGCCAGGCGCCGCTCATCAACCTCGTGCTGCGCATGCGCAACGCGCGCCACGAGCTCAACGACATCCGCTTCGAGTTCGCAGCGGGCAAAGACTCGGCAGACGGTATCGCCACGGAGCTGGTGGGCGCGGGGCTGCTGGACGCGCGCGACGCAGACGTGACGGCGCGCCAGCTGCAGCGGCTGGTGGACGACTTCTTGTTCCCGGGCGCCGGCGGGCCCGCGCCGCGGTCGCTCACCTTCCGCCTCAACTCAGCGCCGCCCGAGCCCGAAGACGAGCAGAGCCTCGTCGGCTTCGCGCAGATCTCCATCGTGGACTGACCGGTGCCGCCCTGACACTACTATTTAATATATTATCTATGCTTAGGACCTCCTACGTATTTTATGGGTGGATATGGAATTATATTAGTTGTATACCGTTTATGCGGTGGTGGTTTTTGTGGACCGATAGTCCCGGAGGCGCGGCGACGTGTCGTAGCTCGACCGTCAATGTACTCCCCGCTGCCTCGCGGGACTTACTCTGCGCAGTGCGCATCGAGTTGTCTGTATACGAAAACTATCACCGCGTAGCTCAAATGAATGTATATTTTACATTATGATTATAAGGGTGAATCTGAATTTATAAGAGTATTTTTTTGTGATCGTACCGTGTCAATTTTGCTGCTTTCCAACACTGTAATCGATTAACTCGGGCCCACATTCGCAAATATTGCAAGCTATACAAAGAATGACAATGAATGACTTATCCAATAGAATGCCTACATCCAAAATGTAAGTTAGCACTTCTAGCATAAATTATACTTGTTTATACTTGTTTATAATAAAAAAGCTACCTATTATTGTGATTCTTATTACTTTATAACAACTTCCAAGTGCCATATTTATGAAATATGAATGGATAGAAATTGTATACTGTAAGTTCGACAGTGATATAAAATTGCATATAATGAATCATTACAGTGTTAATTTTAATAGCAGGTCTATATAGCACCATAGAATGTTCTTTTTACATTGTTATTTGTTTGTTGCTTATTTTGGAAGTATTTTAATAATAAAAGATGAAATCGATTTCGGCAGGATGTTTTATTAAAACCTCTATGATTTTCCAAAAATGTTAACTAAAAGCTATGTTTGTCCTTAGACTACAATTACATTTATTTATAACAAGTTGACGACGGTGGTAGGTACTGGCGTTCTGCTTCCATTGTCACAGAAATTGCTCACTCAGTGCCACCCAATGGAGCAAGTCCGTATCTGTAAAAACTCAGTTTGGCATCTAAACATTGTCGAAATAAACCATCTAGAACATTCCAAGACATAACCAACTTTCATTCCTGTTCATAACATTATAAAGAGATCTTAATTCTAAGCGTAATAAGAGTTGAAAAAGCAATAACGGTATAAAAATAAGTATTTAGGTACATCCAAACTTAACTCCATAGCATGTTGGTCCACAAAGAAAATAAAAAGTTCTAGTTTATCGGCTACAAGTACATTACGCTACCACAAAGGAAATAGTTCTGTCATTTTTACAAGTTATTCTAATTAAATGCGAAGCAGTCGATACTTGTTTGACAGAATAATATTTAGTAATTTAATTGACAATTTCAATAAATAATGATCAAGCGATGTGACGTGATGGTTAGCAGGTTTGTCATTTCAATAATAACCAAACTATTGGTTGTAGCAAATTGCTATTTTAATTTTTCAATTCGTTGTACTTGCGTTGATCACAACAACTATTGGCGTTTTAGAAAGTTGATTTGTAACTATTGCAATGAAATAAAGAATTATGTAGACATTCCGCGACATGAAAATAGCAAAAACAGTATACCTTGGCCTTATTCCAGCGAGTCGGAATAGAGATCAATAAACAAATTATAGCTAAAGCATTCTTTGGAATTCTGTAGAGTTTGAATGAAGAATAAAAATTGATCTACAGAGGTAATATAGCTTATTACTTTTTAGAACAATATTGTGAAGGTGAAGAATTATTAAAAAGATTAAGAAATATTAGAATGTTGTTGTGGTCGACACACAGTCGAAAGTATCAAATCGCTATGATTTACAATTGTCGTGTCTCTTATGAACTAGTGCTAATAATATTAACGTTCGAGAATCATTTACATACATAGTGACTAGGCAAAATGAAGCGTCTAATTAAGTACTTAAGTCTAACACACTAGTAAGGCAATAACAACATTGAATTGTGTCGCAATAAATAAAATAATCAACGTGTCCCTAACAAAACGTTATAAGTAACATTCACAGAACATAACATCAATCCTTAACTTATCAATAATTGTGCAAAAAGTATAGAACCAGTTCTTTTATGACTAGGTTAAAAATATAACATTATGGCACATCTAAAAAAAATAAATTTGTGCGCGATACTTAAACATTAATTAAATAGATAATATAAAAATAATTATTGGAATCACTACAAACAATACTTTTGGAAGACTAAATTATTAAGTGGAATGTTTGTGAATATTGTTGTATAAAATTATGAGATTCATATATCGCAGATTGTAAGCAGAGATTTATATTGTATAGTAACAGATCTACACACTCCCGAGTGTGGACATCGCGTCGTCCGTCTGAGTGCACTGTAAGGCCGATCTAAGCAGTAGGCCCGTGTATGAAAAATAATTAGGAACGTAGAAATCCTCACAAATCCTTGTGCCGTGCGAGAAACTAGTGATAGCTTACAAAGTAATTGTACTATAAGAAAGCGTATAGCGGTGACTTACGTCTAGCTACGCAGACATTTTGTACAAATAAGACTCGTTGACTCATCCCCCACACACATACATCGACATAAACAATTATCATGGACAGAATAGATTTGTAGATTTAAAATTGTATGGAAATAAATTATTTGAAAATGTTGAGAAAGTATTTACAGATTATTTATGAGAAGCTGAGTAGTATGCGTGGGGAACTGACCCTACCCCTATAAAGTAACGTGGCTGTAAAATTTGACACTCGTGTGGTGGAGGGTGGAGCGAGAATCAGAACAAATCGACGACCTTGCGCTTGAAGTAGTGTTTGAGGGGCGTGTAGTAGTGGCGGCGGAGGGCCACCAGCTCGGGGGCGCGGCGGAGCGCGTGGAGCCCCGACAACTCCGTCTCGAAGAGGAGCAGCGCTAGTAGTGCCAGTGCCAGCCATACGACTAAGAAACACGCCGCGAAGGCCCGCACTGCACTGAGAGCTCGCCACCCTGCGCCCCCCGCCGGCCTCCACCCTGGCTCCGTGCTGCCCTCAGGCACCAAACCTCCTGAAGTCACCCCTGACTCCGACGACGAGTGTTCGAATGAGTCACGCAGACTATATTCTGATGGAATTGCTGTAAAACCACATCAGATTCATATAGATTCACTATACATTGAACTTTGTTTGGAGATTTTTTAGCCATACTACTATTTAGCGATCTGAGATGAAACCAATCACGTATCTAAAAACTATTGTTGAGTGTTTAGTAATTTTTTCGTTTTATAGTAAGCTTTCGATTCTGCTATTATAACTTTTTGCGCCAAAATTTGGTCGAACACAAAGCTTTAAGGCCTCTATTTGTTATTAAAACTTACCGGGTGGTTTGACCTCCTCCTGAACAGTTCGCAGGTGGTCGGTGCAAGCTAGCGCGATGTCTACAGCAGGTCCACTGAGTAGACACGCACCATTGCAGGTCTCGTCAGCCCCGCTCTCCTCTAGTGGCGCGCTATGCGTCGACCGCGGGAGACTACTGTAACCTGCATGTTGAGAGATCATCTTAGAAGGTAGGTTATATGACTTGTAATTCTGTTTACATCAACATTTTTACTTTTATTTATAAAAACTAAAGGGATGACAGAAATAATGCTGTTTATTATTAATTCAAATTGCATTTTTACAACCTTAGAGCAAAATCAAAACAAAGCAAACAGTTAGAAACTAATTATTTTCAATTTTATAATGTAACAAATAGTTCTATACTTACTACAAAATATTATATTTCAAAAATAGTATTTATCAAGTGCAAAATCGTCTTTAAAATATGATTTCTTTGTAAAGTTTTAAATGACTATGGTACAAGTAAAATGTCTTATGTATATTAGTTAACCTAAGTACGAAGTAGCGGTGTTTATGGGGCAGGATATTAAATATAATCTTACATTAATAAGTAATTGTGATAAAATAGATATGTACGATAAATACCGAAGTCTCCTGTCATCGGGGTGGACGGGGTAGCGGGAACACTCGACGCTTTTCGCTTACCGCCTGTACTCGAACCCTCCTTCTGGAATAAAGGGACTTCCTATAGCATTCTCACTTGTTATAAAGTATAAATTAATATTATTTTTTAATTTTCCTGGTCGAGCAATTTATTGTTGGGGTATTTGCGGGTTTTGGTAATAAGTACTTAATTGGGTAGTTTCATAGGTCAAAAACTAATTAATTCGACGTGTCAATACAATAAAGTAGGTATTGAAAAATAGCTATAAGTACTTTTATTCGTCAATCTGGCGATACACTAAATTTACGATATTTTATAGCTAATTTTTAAGAAAGTTAAGTAAGCTATTTGACGCAAAAATAATATGACGATAAAGAAAAAACGAGACTTTGCTATGGATTTTTTTTTATATTTGGAGTTCCAAATCATATATATTTAAGATTAGATTTAAAAGTTTGTTCGCTCAGCTAGTTATACATATAAACCTTAGCCTCCAAACACTATCCATTAAAACCGCATTAAAATCCGTTGCATATTTAAATATTTAAGCATACATAAGGAAGGATATAGGGACAGAGAAAGGGACTTTGTTTTATACTATATTTTTTAGAAGTTTATCATAATGTATATGAATGATGGCTATACCTGAGTATCTCTAGGCGCGAGCAGTCCATCCCTCTCGAGTATTTCCCTCTCAGTGCGGCCGACATACTTGAACTTGGTGCCCCATGAAAACAATCCGCCGCCCGAGTACACACACGCGTCCGATGATGACGGTAACCTAGAATAAAATATATTGAAATAGTTAATAGACTAATTAACTTTTAAAATTTTTATTTCTAAACATTGTTCGCAAGGTGTACTACACCTTATGATTTATGCTATAAGTTCCATATAGTCCTTAAACTGGAATATTCTTACTTTATAAAGATTACCATAAAAATCTTTCAACATTGCGACAAGGAGGTAATATTTATATGTAGGTACCTAAATATAAATTGGAAAGAAGTAAACTATTATGATAAGACGAACAGAAAATTGGAAAAACGACGCGAATCTATATCCTTATCTGTCTTAAAATATTTGAGGACTTATTTCGGATGCATAAAAACCAGTTTTCTATTGACTATAGACTCAGTTGTCTACTTGATTCATTTTTTACGGAATCCCCATGCACAACCCTCCCCCCCCCCCTCTCCTTCCTTTCTTATAAACCTAACCTTCCCCCATACTCAATTTTCAAAACCCTATCCTTAAATCCCTAATAAGAGGTGGCACGCGCTAAAACTGCCTGCAAGATGGCCGACCTATTCCATAACATAAAATCTTGAAAAAACTCTATACAATTTAGTGTTGACTCAACAGAGTACAGGACCCAATTCATTGACTGCCATGGTGAACAATTTACTTAAACTACAAAACAAGATTAATTACCCTGCAATAGTAATTATAGCACTATAATATATATGTATAAGTTTATGACCGGTCATTGACTCACAAAACTACTCGTAATAAAACTCCTTTAATAAAAAACATGTTCTATTAGTACTCACGTAAAAAACAGCATTTGTTCGATGGCACAACACCACACGTGGCGACAGGCGGGCCCGTTCGGACATTTGAAACCTACTGTATGCTTCTTCTGAAATTTAAAATTATTTTTTATTTTACAATTGGATATGGTCTCGGATTTAAATGGGCTTTCCAATAATAAAGTATTAACAGTTTTTTTTATAAAACAAGTTCCATAATATATTTCATTGTATTTAAAAAATCATTGTTGCACTTTCCTAGGACATTAGGTGTGTGTTTGCAAACATACAATTTCAAATTCACATCACAGGCTATTAAATAAAGACAAATATTAGACTTATTTTTTTAATTACTTATATTACAAATAATTATCTTTATAATGATAATATAAAATTATATCCAAACTAATATTATCTATAAATGCAAAAGTAACTCTGTCTGTCTGTCTGTCTTTTTGTCACGCCTAAACTACTGAACAGATTTCTGTGAAATTTGGTACAGACATAATTCAGAACTCGAGAAAGGACATAGATTAATTTCTACACCAAAAATCTGCAGGAAGTCACTTTTCTACGCTAAGGGAATCGCGGGCAAAGGCTAGTTATATTGTATTAAGAAATATTTATTTTAAGAATGTCATATTAGGTTGAACTCTACATAGTTTTGTAATAAACACAATTAAAGCATGAAGTGCCGGTTATTCAACAATCATTGGTCATTCAAAACCGAGGGGAAATAACCGAATTGTAAAGCTATTCAACACACCATTGTGTAACTGTCGACACGTGTAATTTTACCAAAGAGTTTCATCTCAATAGAGGTCATTTTATCCTAGCACTAAGCACCACATCCTGATATATTATTAAAACATCAGACTCTCATAATCTGAGATTTAAATTCAAGGTTGTGTAGCAGATGTAAGATTTGTAGACCCCTTATTTTGAATTTATTTAAAGTCGATTCGATATCTTGGCTTTTGTTGCGTGTACAACGTCCAGCATTTTATACAAAAGGGTTAATGCAGTTGCAGTATGTTAAAATAATTGTTTGTAAATGACCTTGGTATTCAACGGTTATTTGCTGATCGTTTTCGTTTATTCTCGCTTAACTCAGAGAAAGCCTGGGTTGATTTGGTCAATTTTTTGAAATATTCATGGAAATCTAGGGTATATAGGCCATAAAGGTTAAAAACCATTTGTTTATTTTAAGGTGTTATGCAGTTCGCTGGGTCAGCTAGATGGAACGATTGCTTATAATATCTTAAAAATATGAACGGTTCCGGAAGAATAAAATATCTTCAAAGTTTTCATTTAGAAATCGTCCTAATCCTATTAAAATGTATGTGGATGTACCACATACATTTTAATAGGATTAGGATTAATAGAATCTTCTCCTTTATACATAAAAATGAATCAGAAAATTTTTTTATAAGCTCCTAAATTCAACAACGCATGTACGAATCTTGACAGATATTTTTTTTGTGTTTATTGTGGTAAAGTACAGTTTGAGGGATGACAAGTTTTTTATGGCTTGGCGGTTCGGTAACAAAAAACAAATGACTGACACCGATCTAGCCGCTAATTGATAGAATAGTCTTAAGCCTTTGACTGCCGACAGATAACTATTGAAGGCAAATCTTTCGCTGCCAGTGATCACCTCCGTGATAGCTAACGTGTTATAATAATCATGCATAGTCAATGATATTTCGATGTATAATCTAAAAATTTATTGTCTTTGAAAATACAATTAAGCGACAACGATCTCTCATCTTTCTTATCTAGGCATCACGCAAATCGCTTTAATAGTGTTTAATGTTTTTAGCTATAATACAAATTAAATTCTACTGTTTCTGTACAGCTACTATGCTCCTACAAGATAAATTTGAATATGGAACAAAATTTGTATAAACAATCAGCCACATAATCTGTATCTTATGTCTAGTAAAACAGGCGCCAAGCTCAAAAACATAACCTAGTACCTAATAATATAACTTGGTATATAGACCTTACCTCTGGATAATTAAGATGTACAATAAACATGCGTCCCTCGAAGTTAATCTTATGTACTTCCGACCACTTGAAGTGGTGCGTCTTCCTACTACCCTGGAACGTTAAGATGCCACTGTGGTTGATGCCCAGGTACAGTTGGTTGCCTCTATGGTCCTGTGTAGAGAGAATCATTGTTACATTATTGTTTTATTGCTAAAATAAGATAATTTAGTACAGATACAATACACACAAAATAGAGAAAAAGAAGTATACTTGTGATTTAATATTTATTGATGAGTTTATGTGCATTTTATGGTAAGACAATACAATGCATGTGCCTTACTAAGTTGTCGCTTGTTAGCCAGAGTTCTGCAAGAATTTGTAGGTTGCAGAAACCAAAAGAAACCTAATAGCGACGTATTTAGAAAACAAAGTGACTCATTATCATTATTAACATTAGCCCATAACTGTCTCACTAGATTAGTAAGTAGTTGTTTTATGGCCAAGAACGAGCAACAAACTTTTTCAATCAGTTCAAATTCTTTGGTAATTTACCAAAAAAAATCTGCTCATCAAACAATAACTTAAATAAATCTGTCGGTGTTGATTAAACAAGCATTAAATCAAATAGAATAATAAGTAGGAATATAAGAAGGGCACACATATACCCAAACCTTGACAGGATGGGGATCGACGCCGTACGTGTCGAGTTGGCAGGCTATCTTCACGAACGTGCGCTCCGCTTCCTGTGTCGACATGCCCTTGACGCCGCCACTGCCGCCCGGGGTACCTTCCACTGGTTCTCTATGTAGCTCCTGAATAAATCACATGGTTACATTTAATCTTCTCTAAAAACTTGGTGTTACGGGTGTCCATGGGCGGCACCGATTGCTTACCATCAGGTAATCCGGCGTCTGCACGTTTTGCCTTAAAAATAGCAATAACATAAAAAATGTACTATAACGATGGTGGATTCCGAAAAATACATTCCTTTACTTATAATTCTTTATTTGTCAGTATAGTTATTATGTTTCTGTAAAAAAAATTAGAATATTTTTTCAAAGATTTTGCGTCTGAAGATATACAATCTGCATCTCTAGCCTCACTAGAGATGGAAATTGAGAAAAGTAATCTATTTCTTACGACCACCACGAAGCTTTCGTAAAAAAAGAAATAGTTTCTCGGGGTCTGAACTTAGGTTCCACATAATACGGTAAGTTTCCAACTAGTAATTTAACAAATCATGATGTCATTCATAGTATTTTTGCGTCAATTGCTAACTTTATTTTATTGAAATAAAACTATACAATATCGAAAATGTTGTGTATCGACAGAGCGATGAATAAAAGTATGTTTATTGTATTGAAACGTCGAATTATTTTGTTTGGCCTAGGAAACTATCCATTCATACAATATGCTTTCTATATTTTTGATCTGATTTAAAGTATTGTGAGACAGGCCCTTTTATCTCAAGGTAATTGAAAACAATAAATTCATTCATAAATCTATAACAGCCTTATATAATATGTTTAATGTTTAGTCTACTATACAAGCCATAATAACAACCTACACGCGTGGGCACAAACATAGTATACATTTATTATTACAGTACAACATTGTGAATTTATTATATAAACAGTATCAACTTTGCCCCCTCGTGTACTGAACTTGTGACGTTTTCTAACTGATAAGATTAATTTATGATAAGTACTACAATTAACACTGTCGTTTTCTCTTTCAACTCTCTTTTTATACATACATTATATAACAATTAACTACTTATGTCATAATATCATGACATACATAATTAACTGAGGTACTTCAGAAAGTATCGAATAAACAATAAAATTGCTTATGCTATCTATACCTACCTATATTTGAAAAATAACATAGCAAGTATACATTTAGATGTTTTTTTAATGTTAAACTTAATATCAGCAGGAAAAATTTTAGTTAATTCGTGTTTGAACGTTCACATGCACACACTTAGCTATTGAGACAAAAACAGGCATAATATGAAATCCTTAGACATACTTTTTCTTTACAAAAAAAAAAATATTTTCTATCACAAACATTCCTTGAAGAATTCACATAACCAAATGAATGGCACATAAAATTATTAATTATTGTGCTCACCTGTATCCTAGCTTCAATGGTATCTGTTTGTCTGAGCAGCAGTCTCATCTCCGTTACATAGTTGCCCACGTGGATATTGGGGTCGTAATCGCCTAACTCAACTGTAAAAAAAAGAAATATTCATTCATAAAATATGTTTAGTTTTGAATGCTGTTAGTGGACAAAGAATGACATTCATAATAACAGTAGATTTAATTTATTTATTAAATAAGGATCTCCAAAATTAACTGGCACTAACTTAGCCTAAATGTATGAATAAAATTATGTAAATTGAGACAGATTAGACGACAAAGACTGGATTACAGTGGTTAAGAATGAACCTGAAACTTAAGGCTGTGGTCCCTAAGCCGCCAGTGAAGTGTGGAGATTTTTGCAAACTTATCCTACCTTAAGCAGAAGAGTGTCAAAGGTTAGCAGTACCTAAACTCTTACGATATGCTGTTATTATAATAGTGAGTCTTGGTTCCTAATTTATGTATGTATAATTTAATAAACAATAACAATAAGGAACTGATTAACAATAACAAATTATTTTGGTATTGCTATCATAGAGACTAGTGCCTTTGAAAGGTAAAACCTGTGCTACATTTTATTATACCTAAACAAAAATATTTTAATCTCCAATTACTATGTTATATATCAATCAACTGTGTAGTGAGCAGTCACGTTATCATTATGAAGTTACGTGTAACATTTTCAATTTTAAATTAAAAAAAAAATCATTTATCATACCACATAATCCATACGTAAACATAATAAAACGTTATATTCAAATACGTCATCGCGTAAACAAAAGAGTTGACGGAGATAGGGTTGGTTCACATTTGACGAAATAGGTACATAATATGCCTCGAGTGTATCAGACTATCAGCGACGTATTACAGTCGACGCAGTATAAAACAAATATATAAAGGTTGAATGTATTATTTTTACTAGTGGCCCACCCCAGCCTCGAAGGGGAGTCGAACTACCTAGGTGTCAACTCATCTATATTTATAAACACACGGCACCGAACAATCAAAGCAATTTCTTTCATTTTCTCAAAATTTTCTTTCAAAATTGGCAAAATTGGTCTAGATGATGTCAAACTATGCACTTCAACATACTTTTCAATCAACTTTTATATGTACTTATATGGAAATATGTCTGTTATTTCGTTACGTGACCGACGATATGAGACAAATTTTCCGGTACCGACCCTTAGTAATTTGTGTACCCAGTCTTAATGAATGTATGCGCGAATATTACAAACATGTTACAAGCATTGGCCTCCCAATCTATATTACAATTCACTCTACCTACCTCATATTATGGGAATAGGTATCTTGTTCATCATTAAATATCAAGTCAAATCCCCATTTTAAAGGGGGTATTAACAAAATGGTTGCCCCGCGCTAATATTTCCTCCTGTTCTGTGAGTGAGTTTACATACAATTTCACATACATATCACAACCAGGCTAAGCAGAGCAATTTGCGGATCAATCACACAGAGTTGTTTCATGCGGGAACCGTCACCGGGACAACTTGCCATCGCATTCAAAATACCTAATAATACTTATGGTATATGTAGATATTATTATCTACTAATATTATTACCGAGAAAGTTTGTAAGTGGATAGATATTTGTTACTCTTTCACGTATAAACTACCGAATGAATTTTCATGAAAATTAGGCATAGCGACAGACAGAGTACCTGTGGTATGGAAGAACACAGTACTAGGATGAAAAATAGCCTAAACGTAGGCGATGGCCGCTAGCAGAAACTATAGAAACAAATGAAATTGCATTGCGAATTCATAAAAACCTTGTATAGGTATTATAATGTAAACACATCGTCGGACGTCATAATATTCAATGCCATTGTTGGGCAAACATAGGAAAGTAGGCTGGGTTAGTCAACTGTACCGAGTAAGATTAATGCTCCTTAATTAAATCTCCTCCGTGTGAGAGGCCTTTGCTCAGCAGTGGGCACTTATAAGCTGGTGATTTGTGATGTAATGTTTCTAGTATAAATACATATGTACCTGTCTACTGCCTATGTTGTACCTATATGTATATTTATCAGATTGTCATCCCTAGTTATTTCCTGTCATTATGGGATGACTATCAACTAATATGAAAACTAATTCTTCAAGCAATAGATCTTTCATAAAAGTTTTTATTAACATTCACTTGTACCTACTTATATTTCATTTAATAATAATAATAATTTTCCATGGAGGTGGTAATCAATTTCAATTGCAAACTACAATGTCTGCAATACAAATAGTTGCCTACTTTATGTAGATGCACAATCATCAAATGAATCAATGATTCATTTCAAACACACACACACCACACATACACACACATGACACACACACATATATTTACATCTTTATGAAATAAGTGAAAACACGTGTATGCTCTTCGAAAGAATTAAATTAATACATAACTATTTTTTATGTACAAATCAATAGTTATTTCAAAATTAAACAAGATGACGTCAATATTTCTTATCTGACAACTCGGAGAAGAAATTCCATAAGAAACTTAGAACCACGTTTCTATTCCCAACGTTCAAGGCAATATTTTAAAAAAAATAGCATATAACGGATAAAACTTTAGGTACACTTACTATCTAGTAACTACTATCTCTGTTTACCGCATCAAGACAGCGTAATGTTGTGTGTCTAATTTACAAATAAGTATTAGAAAGTACTTAACAATTATGTTCCAGAAACAATTGCTAATGATAGGTTTTTTTTTAATGGTAGTATCATCGAATGTCATCTCCCGACCTAGGAGGGGCGAGATGGTGTCAGACACTAACTAACTAAAAACCACCCCGTTCTTTTTTCTGCTCCGAACCAAGGCTACGATACATTATTATATTATTACGCATGCACCCGCAACCCGGACTGAACATTAGGTATTGGGCTCCATCTGCTATGGAAATATGGAATGGCTTGTGTGATTAATTAATACTTAGTTAATTGGCTCTAAGTACGGCGATTACCAATACTACCTATAATCTACCAATTGTATACAATATTCTAGTTAGAATCAAACAAGAAATGAATTAAAGTCTAAAGAAATAAATAAATAGAAGTGGATAGGCTATGGCGCCACGTGGTCAACAACCACGTGTATTATAGGTAGGTACGCAATAAAGAGGACTCTAAACTCTAATATCAAAAAAGGAAAAACTTAAACTTCACAATTAAATAAAAGTTAAAGAAACAAAACTAACAAAAATACAGTACCTAGAGCATTGTAGTTTTAAAATGTAACAAACAGGCAAATCATTTCAACCATATCCTGTCGCTTTATCGAGTTGCCCTTACACATAAATGTACATACACAAGAGCCATGGTAACTAACGACATTGTAAAAAAAAACTCATAGCCCTTATCAGTTTCGAAGTGCAAACTGTTCACGCACTTTAAATCTAGCATAGATAACTGATAAGTTCTGTCTGTCTGGCACTTTGCTTATCAAATTAAATTAGGTTTTAATTGTAACTAGATCTTTGCACATCTAGATTTTAAAGGTCGCCTAAACTGGTTAAGCGTTTTACGTATGTAGCTCTAGATGACCGGGCGCAGCTTGGTATCATTTTTTCAGAAAATGAAACTTTTCGGCAATGGAAGTATTCACATATGTTTTTGTAAAATTACATCGAAATTGTTGGAGCCGTTTCCGAGAACATGAGATAGCAAATTTTATCAATACGAGTCCTGCTGTTTATTATAAAAAAAAATATTCAAACCATACATTGTAGTTTTGCATTAATAAGTATGTAGGTATGTACTTAGGTACCTTTGTAAGAAAGTAACTTCTAGTCAGGTCAAGTTTGAATTTATGCCTGGTGGAAATTTTTAAATCTATTTTATTAATATTTAATACATTTTTTTTACATCAGCATATCTCATTTAAGATACCATATTCAAAATATAAAAAGTTAAATTTGATAGGAATCTATCAATCAATTTTCAAAAATGTTTATTTTGTGTGTCTTAGGTACGCTTCTGGACGTCGTTAGAATGGGTCTAAGCATTTAATATTCTGATCAGAATATCCGCCGACAATGATGCAACGCCAAATTAGAATAATTCAAGCACATAGAAACAACGACAAAAAATATTACCTGAACACGTGGTTTTGCCGTTTTGACCATGTGGTATCTACGAATTTCTTGTAATAAAGAGCAATTGAATATAATTGAATATAATTGAAAATAACAATTGAATATCTTTAATATAATGCAAATTTTAGATATACTAAGACAATTCATTTTTTATACACAAATCAAATCAAAATAATAACAATATCGTAATTGAGATTAAAAGAACAGAGCGGTGGAAAATATGAAAAAAATAAGGTTACTGAACACCTACCTCTTTCTAATTGATTTAGAAAAAATCACAGTGTGTTTAGTTAATTTTTTTTTAATTCATTCAGTTATTTTTATGCCTGTCTCGTGTGAGTTTGAATGAAAAGTTTTGTTGAACTCTTTGTAAAACTTTCCATCAACCAATAAGTTTTATTTAAGTACTATCATATATGAATAAAGAACTTACTTTGTATAATAAGTGCCCCCAACATAGCTGCCTCATTAGCTGTACAGTATAACCTTCCATGTAGTAAATCTCTTTTCAACTGCAAGTATATCTGGAACCTAGTAACATCTTCTTTTAGCAATAGAGGATTTGGCGGGTAGAACTTCACTCGGAAACTAAATAGGATTGGCGAGGCATCTGCAACAAAAATAATAGATTAATTGAAAATATCAACTAACTCATGTGAATAAACTGAAAAAGCTCTTACAGTTTTTTTTAGTCAGAGACTGTTATTTATGAACAGCATCTACCATCTACTTCGGGTATTAAAAGGTATGAAATGGCATAAACAAGAAAAAGCTACAGCTATCAAATTGTGAGCTTTAATATTATTAAAATATGAGAATGTGAATATCAAATTCTCAGCTTTTCTTTTTTTGCAGAGGTTGATATATATCTAATAGTGTACAAAACAATAATATTACCTCAATAATACATACCTTTAACTTGTTTCAGTATTAATTTTGCCATATGCAGCCAATGCTGAAAAGAATAAAAATATTAGTTGCTAATTCAGTTAGTATAGTAACTAATTTAGGATGTAATAACTAAGTTTTAGTTACTATCCTTACAAAATATTCTAAATAAGTTACCACTTAGTATAACATAGCAGAGTTCATTATTGAATGGGACCATCTTTGTTAATCTAAGTTCTGTCTAATTTGTTTACTTTATATCTGAGGTGTCTAGAAGTATTACATTTTATTTAGCGACACATATAAAACTTGGTTATTGAAAGAGTTTGTGTTCATAAACTTCAGAAATGGTTCTAATAAAACTGTAGTTTTAGTTTGGATACTTTCCAACTGTATCTTTGATGAAGTAGCCATTGACTTATTTGGTAAACTTGAATACAGAGTAGTGATAAATTGTGATCATAGCTGACAGGCTTTATTCTAGTTTTTTTAAACACTATTCTTATATTAAAGTGCACTACTAAGTACCAATTGATGGTTTTAAAGATGTAATTTTCAAAATAGTAATAACAGTAATATATCCATAGTAAAAACTTTAAAATTTCATACTTTTCAGCTAACTCAAAACTGGCTATTGTAAACTAAATATAATATTTTTAGGATGTTCTTGTGAAGGAGGTTTGTAAGATTAAAACATAGGCACTAATGAGTTGATACATTTTTTATATTTTTGGCAAACATTCATGACACAAATCAATGATTGTCGTTTGTCTTCATTATTTTTTCAGTGGTAGCTTGTGTTTTTTCAGTAAAGTGGAGTTCAATAAAAAGTGTTAGCCTTAATTAATAATTAAATACTCCTATAGTAGTCAGTCAAGGTCAAATTGAGTTGTTATAGCAAAAATTTATGGATTATAAATATTACTTACCCTTTGACCACCAGCATCCACATATCGCAGTCCGAAATAATCAGTCTCAGTGAGATTTAACTGTTGACATACATGCTCCAACAAGAATTTGCCCTTGTAACTTGGCTGAAAAAAGACAACAGCTCATTAACGATTCGTGCTGGCTACGTATAGTTAATTATTTACTAAATACTCACGTGAAATTCACATTCTAATATCTCTGTATCCTCTAAAAGTCTCACTGTACATTTATAAACAATATCTCCGCGACTTTTGAACATGCTGCCAACTATTTACTAATTAAGAATGTCACGAATGTATATTATTATTAATTGTGCATTTTATTTTATCAACGCATGGCTTGCTTAATTTTATTTTCTTAGATGTGTTCATTCAAATTTTCATTTGTTTCGCTTCGATTTCAACACGGATACCTTAGTGGGGTGCGGACTGTGCGGTGCGGGGATGAGAAAATTTGACATTTCACGAATTACGACGTTCAGTTTCATTAAGTTAGTAGTTATCCCAATTTGAAATTCAGGTTTCAATGTTAAATCCCTACCATTGAGATTGTTTTAGAAGAATTTATAATTAAAGATTTAAAGTTGTATGATAAATTGTCAATAAGCTCGATCCGCTTGTTAGACTAATAAATGAACAACACAATGAGTATAATATTTTAAACACTACGTTCCCTGGTACAGTTGACATGAAATTGATGAAACAAAAAGCAGTTAGTTAGGAAAGTTCGGCCAAGGTCTAAAGTTGGAGTCTCCTGCCTTTCCTAGTCAAAGAGCAGTCTTTAAGCTCAGCACGATATCGTTAGTCGTTCTTTTTTAATTTGTACCATTTTTTATGTACATTTTCTTTCTACGTCAACAACTTTAGGTAGTTCTAAAACCTACGTTTTTAAAAATTTGTTACTTTTGCTTTGTTAGCTCTGGGTATTGCTAAAGAAAAGACTAAAGTCTTAGTAAAAATTTAAATAGGATCAGTTAAAAACATGAACGGCTAGACCGATTCCGATTAGTATTTTTATGCTGAGAAGATCATTTCAAAATTTAGTACCTACACGAAAAAGTTCGACAAGTAATAGGAAAAAACAGGAATTAGCAAGTAGCGGTTTGCTAAGAAAACAAATGACTGACACCGAAAAAGTTGGACATCGGTGCAAAGCAAGGGCGGGCTGCGAGTACTAACTAAACAAAGCATTAAACCACCCCGTCTCACCTCCTGAATTTTCAAAACTCTTTGCAAATTTAAATATTATGTGACACTCTAGAAAAGTAAGTACACTTAGGTACTCAATATTTATTTTTATTGCCGTGGTTACATCAAAGAGATGAACTAGGTAAATGTCGTAACTGTTACTGTATTAGAAATTATTTTTTAGAAATTTAATTTAAAAATTAGCAGTAAATTATATTATTGTACAATTTACATTATTAATTTATTGCAACTAAATTGAGAATGTTGCCAATGTTGATAATTTAGTGATTTATATCAGTATTGATTTCCGAACGAATGAGCGCTTAATGAACGTCATATCCGTAACATTTACAAAGTTACCAAACTTAAAAAAGTTTCCAAGAAAAATGGCAATGGAACAATTAAACTGGAATAATATTCATAATAAATAATTTATGATTAACATCTTACTTTCGAATCTCACATAACAATTTTGGGAGAGAACTCGACTAATTTCAAGCAATACCTGAGTGCATTGTCTCATCAACGTTTAATTTAACTATAACACAAGTTTAACGCAAATTGTAATAATCTTGTTAGAATCCATAATATGTTTTGATGTATTAAATATTCGTTAGTAAGTATCCTATAAATATTTCTACAATTCGGAAATGATTCTCAAAAAAATAATGCGATACCTACAATATCAAATAAAAAGAATATAGGGAGACAGAAAAGACAACGTTATATCATCATACAAACGTCAAAACAAGTTCAAATGCTAACAGGTACTTACTCAACTGATTTTGCGAAAATTGTCATAAATAAATAAAAGTAAATTAGAAATGTAGATAGCATTTTGTATAATTTATTTTGTAAAGAGGTCCGTTTTATGACCTATTTGCAAAAAAAACCTTGTATAATTGAGCTAACTTTTTATTCAATAACATTTTACTGTTATCACATGCAACACTCCTTCTGGTCTCACATGGGGTGGAAGAGGTAACTTGAAGATTTTGCATCCTCTAAAAAAGGCAAACTTATGTGGAACATTTTCGTAAATGTTGTTACTATTTTTGAACAAATACATAATGTATCATTTCATAATAAATGCCCATAAAGCTCTCGCCGCTTTAAACACTTGTAACTTGTTTAATTGTACCAATACGTATTAAAATATGTAAAATCATCATCAAATTGATCTTTGATGTGTAAACATTTAATGTAGGTACATGTACCTTTCACTGGTGTTTCCAGTCTATTTTAAATAGGAAGTTGGTTAGTAGTGTGTGGCCACACTGAGTACCGGAAGTGAGTCTTCTCGTTCCAGCCAGCTGAAAAAGCAACGATTTCTCGTCCATTCTGTTGGAGTCTATCTCGGATATTACACGTGGATTGTAATCCGTGGTGAGTGTCAGAAGAAATTGTTTAGTGCAGTGTTAAAAGTGATATTAGATAACCGTAAGCATAAACGATTGTGTTATTTAATTCAAACGTATTCAAATATCTTAATTTCATTTCAATTACCTGGGTCTTTTTGTGGTATAATTCTAAACCTGTAAGACACGTTTTCTTCTTACCGTATGGTTACGGTAACTTTATTAATGATTCAGATACAGCAATTGTTAAGTTAATTGATATCTATTCTATTCAAATATCGAATTTAACACGGTTGTCGTTTGCTTACGCGTCACACTTGTTCATTAACCGGCTCACCACCACGTGGTTGATGCACACTTGTTTTCTCATTTCCTTCATTGTCAAAGGTTTAATCTTGCAATTATTGTTAAGTTTATAGTTATTTCACATTATGTATTCGTATTCTATTGTGAAATTCTCATGTTTTTGCCGTAATGGCTGACATCCATTGTGAAATGTCAAGATAGGGCGAGGCGGCCATGCGGCCGCCATATTGCCGGCCGCGCGGTACATGAGGTTGCGACCTTGCAGATGCCGGCTCGCATCACACAACCCCTTGCACTTTTCATGTCAATTAAATTGTTTTAATGAATTTCTTTTGTTTTGTTCTAGACTAACCAAAAATGGGAAAGGAAAAGATTCACATTAACATTGTCGTCATTGGACACGTCGACTCCGGCAAGTCCACCACCACCGGTCACTTGATCTACAAATGCGGTGGTATCGACAAACGTACCATCGAGAAGTTCGAGAAGGAGGCCCAGGAAATGGGTAAGGGTTCCTTCAAATACGCCTGGGTATTGGACAAACTGAAGGCTGAGCGTGAACGTGGTATCACCATTGATATTGCTCTGTGGAAGTTCGAAACCGCTAAATACTATGTCACCATCATTGACGCTCCTGGACACAGAGATTTCATCAAGAACATGATCACTGGAACTTCCCAGGCTGATTGCGCCGTACTCATTGTCGCCGCTGGTACCGGTGAGTTCGAGGCTGGTATCTCGAAGAACGGACAGACCCGTGAGCACGCTCTGCTCGCTTTCACACTCGGTGTCAAGCAGCTGATTGTGGGCGTCAACAAAATGGACTCCACTGAGCCCCCATACAGCGAATCCCGTTTCGAGGAAATCAAGAAGGAAGTGTCCTCTTACATCAAGAAGATCGGTTACAACCCAGCTGCTGTCGCTTTCGTCCCCATTTCTGGCTGGCACGGAGACAACATGTTGGAGGCGTCAACCAAAATGCCCTGGTTCAAGGGATGGAACGTTGAGCGCAAGGAAGGCAAGGCTGAAGGTAAATGCCTCATTGAGGCCCTCGACGCCATCCTGCCCCCTGCTCGCCCCACAGACAAGCCCCTGCGTCTTCCCCTCCAGGACGTATACAAAATCGGTGGTATTGGTACGGTGCCCGTAGGCAGAGTTGAAACTGGTATCCTCAAGCCTGGTACCATTGTCGTCTTCGCCCCCGCGAACATCACCACTGAAGTCAAGTCTGTGGAGATGCACCACGAAGCTCTCCAAGAGGCCGTACCCGGTGACAACGTTGGTTTCAACGTAAAGAACGTCTCCGTCAAGGAGTTGCGTCGTGGTTACGTCGCTGGTGACTCCAAGAACAACCCACCCAAGGGCGCCGCCGACTTCACAGCACAGGTCATCGTGCTCAACCACCCTGGTCAAATCTCAAACGGATACACACCTGTGCTGGATTGCCACACAGCCCACATTGCCTGCAAGTTCGCTGAAATCAAAGAAAAGGTTGACCGTCGTACTGGTAAATCTACTGAGGACAACCCCAAGTCCATCAAATCCGGAGATGCTGCCATCGTCAACTTGGTTCCCTCCAAGCCTCTCTGTGTTGAGTCCTTCCAGGAATTCCCTCCCCTCGGTCGTTTCGCCGTGCGTGACATGAGGCAGACGGTCGCTGTGGGTGTAATCAAGGCTGTCAACTTCAAGGAAGCTGGTGGTGGTAAGGTCACCAAAGCCGCCGAGAAGGCCACCAAGGGCAAGAAGTAGCTAGCGCTGTTAACAGCACAATTTTTCATACAACTGCGATACTTCATTCACCGCAAGGTGTTCCGAAGGAAAGAAGGGCTACAAACTCATTCCTTTTCTATATTTTTTACAAGGCTTATACTGTAACATTATTTTATAATTTATATAAGGTTATATCTGAACTATTTTGTTATAACTGCAAACTAATGTGTAAATTCATAGAATAAAGGTAGCCTCCAGTGAAAAATACATTGTTTTTAATTTTTCCCAATGAATTCTCTTACACACATACACCTTAATTCACAAACATAGGTACATACTAGAAATACTTGTACCTATGTGAGAAAGCATTCATTTATTAGTAACATATATCTGTCTATACCAATAGAGTATTAGCTAAATTATTTCACTATTTAGGTATCTAAAAGTTCATGCATAAGCTTGAATCACTTTGATTCTACACTGTCCTTTTATTATATTATAACTACCTATTCTAAAACACATTCATAATTTGATTCAATGAACTGAAATTGAAAGGTGAATGAACTCTACACTATTTCTGAAAAGCGGAAATAGGTTGACACAAACATCTGCATAGGTAATAATAGTTCTTGGGTAGAACACAAGTTTAAAAATAATAGACTAGCCAAGCGTGCGTTCGTGCAGCGGAACGTTGTTGAATTTAAAGATTTTAATTATGCAGATATTTAGTGTATGACGTCGTATAATTGTGTATGGTAAAAAAAAAATTGTGCACGCAACCATTGTGGAGAAATTCACCAAAAACTGATTCCGCTGGGCGAACGTTGTCCTGGCGGAACTTTTTTTAATCCATAGACTTTAGAAGAAAAGAGATGTATCCAAAAATTAGTGTGTATTTGTGTGTAATTGTGT